TCTTTTGCGTTCAGGATGTAACTGCTCTAGTTTTACTATTCGATCTCTTAATAGATCAACATCTTTACCATTTGAACTTAACAACTCTTTCCATTCGTCTTTGATAACTTCGATTCGATGATTTATTTCACTATTCACGTGTGTATTAATTTTTTGGGTTAGTTCAGTTAATTTTTTCATCGATTTCGTTTTCAGCTCATTTAATTCGTTATTGAGACTCTTTATTAAAAGTTCGACTTTTTTGTTTAAAATCTCTACATCAGAATTAAAATTACTTACAGTTTCTTCAATTTTATCAACTCGCTTCTGTCGTAAAGCAATTTGGTTTTCTATATTCGATATTGCCGCATTGAACTTATTATCCCACAATTTATCCGCTTCTGCAATGTTCTTGTTTAACGCTCTCAGTGCACTAACAAGGTTATCAGTTTTTTTATTAAAATCTTCTTTAATCACATCTGTATATTGTTTCGTACATACGTCGTTTTTATCATACGGTAATGACACATTACAAATTCTATGATTCTCCAAATTTAAATTTCCGTCTTTGGTAAAACTAAGTTGCTGTTGTTGTTTCAACAATATTGATTTCAATGCAGCCGTTGAAGAAGATGAAAGAAGATTATTTCCACGAGCACGTCCGAACACGTCTCTAGGCATTTTGATACTGAAATCATTGCAATCAATGCTGTAATTATTAATTAGATGTTAATAGATGACGTCAGCTTCACGTAGTTCCTCTTCTATTGAACGAATTTCATTTATATGTGTTGTATTACCAGCTTTTACGGAAGCATGTAATAAATTTAATCTCTCTACTAATTCGTCAAAAGCGTCATAATAAACGTATTCGGTCACAAAATTGTTATTGTACAAACCACGACCAGACTTTTTTCCTAGCAGAGGAAGTGTCGGAGTTGAAGTATTAGGTACACTATAAGTGCGTTGTTGACGCATTAATGTGGTTCTGGTTGGTATAATCGATGCTGTTGGTGGTGTGTTTCTACTCGATGATAAAGTTGGTGAAAAACTGGGAGATGATTCGTTATTCGTATTAATTCGTTTAGATCTTTTCTTTTCGGGAAAGTATTCAGTAATCTGTGGAGTTGATTTTGACCTTTTTTTGTCTGTTGTTTTCGAAAATAGTGGTTGTATATGCTGAAGATATTTTTCACCTCTAGATCCTTTTATCTGTTGTTCAGGATCGTAATCTCTCTTATGAGCATTCGAAATTTCTAACATTTGCTTGTAGATTTTTCGATCTTTATCATTAATGACGATAGTCTCACTGTCGGGATTTTTACTGAAAAGTAATGTATAAAGTCCTTCAGTGGCAGGAAATAGTTGATTATTTATTTGAAAATCTCCATTATCGGTAATGTTTAATGTTATATTCCCTAAATGAAATTTATTCGTTTCCAGATCGTATCTTGGCCCATAAACTTCATCATTTTCTTCATTTAATACTTTAATAATAGATGGTTTTGATATATCTGGAAATTGACTAAGAAAATCTTCAAAGACTTCTGGTTGTTTAATATCTGAGAGATTTAATTTTGATGCGGTTTCATACTCAGTTTTCATCTCTTCTTCTTCAGGTTTATATTCAAACACTTCTTCGTCCTCTTCGACATCTTTTTCAAAATTTTCATCAAGAGTTTCTTCATCGTCTTGCTGTCGATGCAGTTGTTCGTCATCGTTCATCATGACAGAATCATCTGTTTCTCTTTCTTCATCGTTTTTTGCTCTATTATTGCTGGATTCTAACGGTTGGTTTATTGATCTGGGCGGTAAAAACGAAAATTCCACTACTCGTTGATTTTGGTTGCGACCATAAGTTTTTACTCTTTTACTCATAGATGGAGTCGATAGCTCTCGTGCTTCGTTATCCCTTTCAACAATTCCTAGTTTTTGTGGTTGTTGTTGGTGTTTATACGTATCATCAATTTTTGTGGAAATTTCCTTAAGAGGACTAAGAACTGGTGTAAATAATTTGCTTAATGCAGCATCTTGTTCTTTCATGCCTAGCGTTAAAGCTTTATACTTTTTTCTAATAGCATCCGACACTTTAATAATCCGACGTTTAATACGATCACTTCGAACACTGGAAATAGGTTTATCCATATTGAACGTTCAATATAAACTGCAACAATCCCTTCCTTCTCCAGTATTTTATACTGAACCTATAACAGGAAACTTCTGCATCTGTTTTTAGAAACTGTACTGATGCTGTTTCGGAAAAACAGATCTTTTTTCCAAAACATTAGGTGCTGTTATCGCATCTCACTTGTTTATTGAATAATGTACTGATCAAATCCTTTGCGGTATCGACCACTGTTTAGATCAGAATCTTTATCTATAACCAGAAATCCATATTTGGCCTTCCAACAGATAGTGCATACGTTTTTAAACTCTTGAAAAGTCATATCGGTACCTACGTGATCTTCATAGACGTGTTTCAAATTTCTTTCGTCCTGTTTTAACAACACTAATAAATTTGCATTATCTCTTATTAAGTGTTTAGGGATCCTCGTATAAGTCTGACACAAATAAAAACAATCGATGTTCTTATGACGTCCCATAGAAAAATATCTTCTGATATTGTCCTGCTTATCACAAGTGACATCATCAAATATCATAACTGAATTCGATTTTGCATCTTTGGGGTTAATGACTTGTTCGTTATCTTCATACTGGTAATATCCAATTCCTTTCACTCTTTCTAACACTTCTTGTAGTAATTTATATTTGGGTTGATAGAGGGACTTACAGTAGATATACACATTTGTAAATTTTACTCCGTTCGGATCAAATAATAATGATAGTAGTATATTTGTTTTTCCACTTCCAGAAGGTCCGCAAATGATAGATCGTATCGATTGAGGAAACAAAACACCATGTTTTTGTCGATGTATATGATGACTTAGGCTCTTATATTCTTCATTGTCATCATCATGATTTCTAATCTCTAAACACGTACCTTGTCTTATGATGCGCATTGCACTAATGAGTATTAATTTTGAAATTTAAAATATATATATATGCTTCCTCAGTAGCAATTTTAATTCAGTTTTATGTTGTTTGTTGAAGGAAGAGGTTTACTCTGCTTCGCAACTAACAAGCAATCGTTCAAACTATATATAGTCAAACAATCGCTAGTGATTTGGTGCTAGACAACAAGTGATTGAAAAAGTAGCTAACGAATTATAGTGACAAAAAAGAAGCAAAAAAAAAAACTATCGACATGAGTCCTACTTCACTATCAAGAAGAAAAAAATCTAAACTAACTTTTCATCGAGCTGTTTTGAGCCCATCAATACAAAAAAACAGTCGTGAGGGTATCAACACTATACAAAACGCACTAAAAACCGCTCGATTAGCAATAAAAAAAGCAGGAGGTCGGAATCGAATTAAAATACCCCGTGTCCTTCCAATTAAACAGGGAGGATTTTTACCACTTCTACCGTTGATATTTGGAGGATTATCAGCCCTTGGTGCCTTGTCTGGAGGTGCAGCTGGTATAGCCAAAGCGGTAAACGATGCAAAACAAGCGAAACAAAAATTGGATGAAGAACAACGTCATAACAAAACAATGGAAGCTATAGCAATAGGAAAACAAGGAAGCGGATTATTTTTACGAAAACGTAAAGACGGTTACGGTTTATTTTTGGAAAACGTCTCAAAAAACTTTTACTAGAACTACTCAAAAGACCTTTATCGGATGAGGATGTAAGAAAATATGCTTCGTTATCAAAAATTTCTAATTTTAGAGGTGTATTTATGAGAAATTCATTACCACCAGCCGGGCCTAGAAACTATGAAAAAGCCATAGTTAATTTGGATTTGTCGCTTGGTCCAGGCACTCACTGGGTAGCTTATAAAAAATTTGGAAAAAATGTCTATTATTTTGACAGTTACGGTAATTTGAAACCACCACCAGAACTAATAGAATATTTTAAAAATTGTAAAATATACTTTAATCATAAAAGATTTCAAAAATTAAAATATAATTGTGGACATTTGTGTTTACAATTTTTGTCTAGTAAAATAAAATTGGTATAAAGTAACCTGACCGACATTTTTCTACCTCAGTCTTCATCATGCATACGACGTTTTCACTTGTCGGTAATACAAGTAGACTAAGTGCTACGTATAATCCTGTTATTGAACTTGACCCACACTACGAATACTCATTGGCTCTTATAGGATTTCTAACCACGAATAATATTCCAAATATCGAGGAAGGAACAAACAAGTTTCATTATTTTAAAGAAGGTGATAGTAAGGAAAGAGAGATCATTTTCCCTAAGGGAGCTTACGAGATAGATGCAATAGAACAGTATATTCAGAATTTTCTCTGCCCAGAATGTACCAGTGACAAAGAACGATCAAAAATTTTTTCTCTGAAACCTAACCTTAATACTTTAAAGTGTGAATTGAAGAGTAAATATGGAGTTAATTTCAGCCACAATGACAGTATAGGCAAAAGACTTGGATACTCAAGTAGAAAGCTACCTGCAAATACTTTACACGAAAGCGATTTACCTGTAAATATTATAAAAGTGAGCACGATTCGAGTGGAATGTAATATAGTTACAGGATCCTATTATCAAAGTAAAAGATCACATACCATCTACGAAACCGCTATAACTGTCAATCCAGGAGAGCAAATTTTCATTGAGCCAACAAATCAAATATATTTACCGCTCACTAATAAATCTTTCATTAGCAATATAACTCTCGACATAGTCGATCAAGACAATAATTTTATTGATTTTAACGGTCAAGAAATTGTGGTGAGACTAGCGTTAAAATCTCAAAAGAAGTAATTATGGGATTAGTATACAACATTCTTAAAAGAAGAGGATTTTCACATTATACTTCAGTATCGCAGCAGTCACCACTCCAAGCACTTCCAGAAGAAGAAGAAGCATCATTAGTGTCTTCACAACATCAATTGTCGTCTCAAAGTGTAAATATTCTCAAGTCTTTAGGATATCATGTCAGAAAAACTTCAAATATTCGACCGACCTCAAGTAGATCACAGTATAATTAAAGAAGAAGAACATACGTACAACCCTGAAGTGCGTACATTTAATAATAATGATGATATTGACATCATTATAAATCAAGAAGATCTTATGATACCATTATCCGAGTGTTACCTTGACATTGACGGAGAATTTAACTCTGATGATCTTTTGCCTAATAATATACCAGCTTTAAATGGAGATATTTATTTAACAAATAACGCTGGAGCGTTTTTATTTGAAAGCATAAGCTATGAACTCAACAATAAAGAAGTTGATGTAGTACGAGATGTGGGCTTATTATCAACAGTTAAAACATTCTTGTGTTACGGTGAAGATGAATCAAAAGAATTGGGAGGAGCAGGATGGAATATGGATGGTAATGGTATTAAACCATATAACGTTAGAGATAAAACATTTTCATTGAGAATACCTTTATCGATTCTGCTAAATTTACCTTACGATTATCGTCGTATAATTACTGGAAAACATAAACTAAGATTAGTGCGTAGTAGATCTGATGATAATTGCTATATGAGCACAGGTACTAGGAGAGCAACAATGAATATAAAAAATATTACCTTAATAGCAAAACATGTCTTTCCGAACGATGATATTAAACTCCAGATGTTAAATAAAATCAACACAAGTAAATCTATATTGGTACCATTTAGAAAGTGGGATATTCATGAATTGCCCATTCTGCCAAGATCTAAAAACGAAGTGTGGAAAGTGAAAACTCTGCAAAGTGTACACACACCTCTTTATTGTATAGTATTTTTTCAAACTAATAGAAAGAATAACCCCCTAGCCGATGCTACCAAATTCGACAATATCGATATGAGAAGCATACGTCTACACTTAAATTCGAGTATATATCCGTACGAATCTTGGAAATTAGATTTTAGAAAAACTCGTTACAGAGAAGCATATCAAGCATATTGCGATTTTTATAAACAATTCAACGATCAAGATAGAGCAAAACCGATATTGAAATATGACGATTTTAAAACTCGTTCAATATTCGTTTTAGACTGCTCAAAGCACCCCGAACCTATTCGTTATTCAACTGTAGATGTATCACTTCAATTTGAGTCGGACTATGAGTTTCCTCAAGATACAAAAGCCTACGTAATTATCATACACGATGCTATCGTAGAGTACACACCAATGCTAAAAACTACAAGAGATCTTATTTAACATTGAACGTGTGGAATCGTTCACAACCGAAAAAGGATTTCCTATTGATAACCTCTAGAGCAAACTGCATCATCATTCACAATAAAATTTTAAAGTATCGAGCTGCTAAGCGGTTTAATTCGTCCATTATCACTCTAGAACACCGTTTTTAGCGTTCTTCATTAATGCTTATCGAAAAAACGGAAACATGTGGTTTTATACTGGAAACAGATTTCTTGTTGATTTCCTCGATAGACAACGCATGCGAACAAATTTAGTAGTAGTAGTTGTTGTTGTCATGATGTCTGTCTGGTGTGTTGTTTACTCTTCGCAGTTTTGTTGTGAGGAAGCGAAAAGATTCTCCGTAAATCGATTAGAGAATCAAGTTCATCATTCGCTTCATGATTTTCTACAACGCTACCCACATGAAGACTCTACTCTACTCAAAAATTATCTTTATCAAGGAATCGTGAAAGTGTATGAAGATCTTTCGATATTGTGCAATAAATATTTAAATAGACAGTTCTCATTTCGTTCGTTCTGTGTGGAGCTTAAAGAATTGAAACGAGCCTTGGATAGTGTAAAAGAATATATTCCAACAAAATGCTATATTACCTGGTCATTTCGTACAAAATGTGAAAAGCATATGTAGAAGAAAAAATCTTAGCCGGTCTCCGAGTTAACGAAGAGACGAATTGTAAGTTTACATTTTTTATAAAATCAATCTAAACCGATCATTTTAGTTTGAACATTTTTTATTATCTTCGCCCGGAAATGTGAGGTTTCATAACGGACATACATTTGTAAGCGAATCGCAAGACCCTTTTATTTTAAAGGAAAAAAGGTAATTATTAATACAAACTAAAATCTTTACAAATACTTATTCATTCTAGTTTTAACCCTCCGAAAATACATTTAATGGTGAAATGGTCCTTCGCTTATCACCAATTGAGATGTGATGCTATTTGGCAACAGTACGCTAAAGATGGTGAACGATTTCGAAGACGGATACGACAAGTAGAATCCATCTATTTAGAACCTAAATTACAAGTTTCGCAACGAAAGAAAATACATGAAGATCGATTTACGACTCTACAAGAAGAAGAAGACTCCAAAAGTATGGAAGTTGATTATGAATACTATTAAAAATTATATTAATTCTGCTTATTAGTTTTTTTGTTTCTGTTATAGTTTTCGTTTTCGCTTTCATTTTATATTATTTTTTATTTTTTAAAATGAATTATGTAAAATGTGTTCATTAGTTAATTAGACATTAGTTTTGTACTCTATGGTTTATTTTTGCTTTTATATTTTATGTTAATTAGATTTAAGATTTGTTTATAATGGATAGTTTAATTTTTTTCAAATGTATTGTAAGTTTATAAATATATCATTGTTTAAAATTTTTTGTTTTTGTTACTACTATTTTTCGATTATCATTTTGAATGAAAAGTGAGGTTAGATTTAGAGGGGCTTCATCCAGGAGCGTGCACCTCATCTTAAGACGTAAGGGAATTTTATTTTAAATTACCCGCCAATTTTTAAACACATGGCCCGATCAGAGGCCTGCGCCCTATCTTGAGACGTAGGGGCCCTCATCTTAAGGCGTAGGGGGCCCCCATCTTAAGACACTGGTGTTTGGAGTACAGAACTCCGACCCCCCGACGTAGGGAAATTTTATTTTATGTTACTACTATTTAACGATAATAATTTTAAATAAAAAGTGAGGTTAGATTTAAAGGTCTACATCTTAAGACAGTAGGGTTAAGAGCCCAGAGAGTTTTTGAGTTTAAATTACCCGCCAAATTTAAAAACGTTAGAAGCCGGCGCCCCCAATTTAAGTCGTATAAGATCGAGGTCAGGCCCCCAGACACCAAAGTTATACGCAAGGGGCCCAGCCCCAGTATTAAGGCTTAGGGGGATTTTATTTTTAATTACCAGTGTCCGGGGGCCCCCGAACAAGCAAGTTAGACAACCAACAATACGACAGGCCAGCGTTATCATCAGTTCGAGATTATTCCTATAATAATTTCGTACGAAAAGTGAGGTTAGATTTTAAGAGATTAGGGTTAGGAGCCCCAATTTTCAAACGTCAGGAGCCCGCGCCCCCAAATTTAAAACGTCAGGAGCCCGCGTCCCCAGATTTAACTCGCATAAGACCGCAGTCAGAACCCCACACACCAAAGCAAGGGGGCCCGAGCCAGGGATTTTCATTTCAGGAGGCGCCGCCGCCGCCGCCGCCGCCGCCCGAACATTAGACAACCAACAATACGACAGGCCAGGCCAGCGTTATCATCAGTTCGAGATTATTCCTACTGTTCAGCGTCGGGCGTGATGGACGTGTGATACAAGCGACTCTACAGCACGGCGGGACCGATGGGTTCGAATCCATCGTGAGGCAACTGTGCTTTTTTTCACACACAAAAATTCCCGCGCGAAAAGAGACATCTACCGGAACATTCACCAAAGACGCAAACCATAGCAAAGACGCAAACCATAGCAAAGACGCAAACCATAGCAGCGCCGCAGCAAAGACACAAACCGATCGCAGCGCCACCACACGGGAACGACCACTGCGCATCGCTTCTGCGCACCACCGCGTCACTCATCTTTTTACACTACTCGTGTTGAGTGTCATTTCACGCGGAATTTCCTCAGGATCACGATTCCGTATTCGTTTTTGACGTATCTCTTCAAATAAGCGAGAAATATTCAAATTTTGGAATTTTCAAAATAGGTCCGTTTTCGACCGTGTTGAGTGTCATTTCACGCGGAATTTCCTCAGGATCACGATTCCGTTTTCGTTTTTGACGTATCTCTTCAAATAAACGAGAAAATGGCAAATTTTGAAATTTTCAAAATTGGTCCGTTTTCGACCGTGTTGGGTGTCATTTTACGCGGATTTTCCTCAGGATCACGATTCCGTATTCGTTTTTGACGTATCTCTTCAAATAAGCGAGAAATATTCAAATTTTGGAATTTTCAAAATTGGTCCGTTTTCGACCGTGTTGGGTGTCATTTTACGCGGATTTTCCTCAGGATCACGATTCCGTATTCGTTTTTGACGTATCTCTTCAAATAAGCGAGAAATATTCAAATTTCGGAATTTTCAAAATTGGTCCGTTTTCGACCGTGTTGAGTGTCATTTCACGCGGAATTTCCTCAGGATCACGATTCCGCATTCGTTTTTGACGTATTTCTTCAAATAAGCGAAAAAAATGCGAATTTTTGAATTTTCAAAATTGGACCGTTTTCGACCGTGTTGGGTGCCATTTTACGCGGATTTTCCTCAGAACCACGATTCCGTATTCGTTTTTGACGTATCTCTTCAAATAAGCGAGAAAATGGCAAATTTTGGAATTTTCAAAATTGGTCCGTTTTCGACCGTGTTGAGTGTCATTTCACGCGGAATTTCCTCAGGATCACGATTCCCCATACGTTTTTGACGTATCTCTTCAAATAAGCGAGAAATATTCAAATTTTGGAATTTTCAAAATAGGTCCGTTTTCGACCGTGTTGAGTGTCATTTCACGCGGAATTTCCTCAGGATCACGATTCCGTATTCGTTTTTGACGTATCTCTTCAAATAAGCGAGAAATATTCAAATTTTGGAATTTTCAAAATTGGTCCGTTTTCGACCGTGTTGAGTGTCATTTCACGCGGAATTTCCTCAGGATCACGATTCCGTATTCGTTTTTGACGTATCTCTTCAAATAAGCGAGAAATATTCAAATTTTGGAATTTTCAAAATTGGTCCGTTTTCGACCGTGTTGAGTGTCATTTCACGCGGAATTTCCTCAGGATCACGATTCCGTATTCGTTTTTGACGTATATCTTCAAATAAGCGAGAAATATTCAAATTTTGGAATTTTCAAAATTGGTCCGTTTTCGACCGTGTTGAGTGTCATTTCATGCGGAATTTCCTCAGGATCACGATTCCGCATTCGTTTTTGACGTATCTCTTCAAATAAGCGAGAAAATGGCAAATTTTGGAATTTTCAAAATTGGTCCGTTTTCGACCGTGTTGGGTGTCATTTTACGCGGAATTTCCTCAGGATCACGATTCCGTATTCGTTTTTGACGTATCTCTTCAAATAAGCGAGAAATATTCAAATTTTGGAATTTTCAAAATTGGTCCGTTTTCGACCGTGTTGAGTGTCATTTCACGCGGAATTTCCTCAGGATCACGATTCCGCATTCGTTTTTGACGTATTTCTTCAAATAAGCGAAAAAAATGCGAATTTTAGAATTTTCAAAATTGGTCCGTTTGCGACCGTGTTGGGTGTCATTTTACGCGGATTTTCCTCAGAACCACGATTCCGTATTCGTTTTTGACGTATCTCTTCAAATAAGCGAGAAAATGGCAAATTTTGGAATTTTCAAAATTGGTCCGTTTTCGACCGTGTTGAGTGTCATTTCACGCGGAATTTCCTCAGGATCACGATTCCGCATTCGTTTTTGACGTATTTTTTCAAATAAGCGAAAAAAATGCGAATTTTAGAATTTTCAAAATTGGACCGTTTGCGACCGTGTTGGGTGTCATTTTACGCGGATTTTCCTCAGGATCATGATTCCCCATACGTTTTTGACGTATCTCTTCAAATAAGCGAGAAATATTCAAATTTTGGAATTTTCAAAATAGGTCCGTTTTCGACCGTGTTGAGTGTCATTTCACGCGGAATTTCCTCAGGATCACGATTCCGTATTCGTTTTTGACGTATCTCTTCAAATAAGCGAGAAATATTCAAATTTTGGAATTTTCAAAATTGGTCCGTTTTCGACCGTGTTGAGTGTCATTTCACGCGGAATTTCCTCAGGATCACGATTCCGTATTCGTTTTTGACGTATCTCTTCAAATAAGCGAGAAATATTCAAATTTTGGAATTTTCAAAATTGGTCCGTTTTCGACCGTGTTGAGTGTCATTTCACGCGGAATTTCCTCAGGATCACGATTCCGTTTTCGTTTTTGACGTATATCTTCAAATAAGCGAGAAAATGGCAAATTTTGGAATTTTCAAAAT